CCCCCCCCCTCGGCTGGAGGAGGGGGCGGATGGCGCCCCTCTTTGTTGGCCCGATCGCCAGACGCAGCCGTTTCGAGTGAAGCCGGTGGAAATAATGGAGGGGTCCCGGCCCGCGGGCAGAGCTGTTGCTGCTGCGTCCAATTACGATGCATATCTCGTTTAGAATATGATCGGGGGTGCCGTCTGTCTGCGTCCTGGAGGCCCGGCGGCCCCGACCTGCTCACTGTTGTCGGGGGGATCGTGTGCATGTGTACAGCGGCAGATAGCTGCCGCCTAATAAGCGACCCCGCCGCCGCACCCACCCGCTGCATGGCGGGAGCCCATTCTATACCGTGCGTTGTTGTTTTATTTCTGCTTCCGCTGCCCTTTTCATGTTTCCGCCCCTCCCCGCCCCTCCCCTGCCCATTTCCTGCTGCCATCGGTTTTCCAACAGAGTTCCCAAGCCCCGGTGGATTTGAGATAGAATTATTGTGCGCCTCGGGCGCATTGAATGTGTTGTGTGCGGGCGGGGCGGGGGCGGCGGGGGCTGTTCCATGCCGGCGCGGGCCTTTTTCTCCTCCCCTGCCGCCCTCGCTCTATATCTCGGCGGGGGGCTTCGCGTGCGCAGATTGTGTGGTGAAGTGTTTGGACAGCGCGGATTGTCTAACGTGTCCCGCTATCGCGGCCCGCGCCCCCGCACCTCCACGCTGCTGCTGCGGCTGCTGCTAGGGGCGCCGCCTGCTGTTTGGCCTTTTGTCTCTTTATACATTCCCGCGAGTATTTATCTTTTACCAACGACTACGCGGTAACAAAATATATATGTTTTTTTTGTTTGTTTGTTTGTTTTTTTACAACAAACTGAAAGAGGGAAACTCTGCGACCTGCCTGTGTGTTGACCGATGAGCAGTGAAGAGGGGTGTGTGGCGGGACGGGGGATTTTGATTACATATTTCACTGAATTTATTGGTTTGCGCGCGCGACGCACCTGGCTGCGGCCGCCGCCCCGTCCCTCCTCCCCCTGCGTGTCATAACCAATCGACTGGCTCGACTAATTGGCCGTATTTCAGAGCCAGCCAGCCGGATATTGGATGCGCATGGCTTTCGAAGACCCGGAAAGATCGCAATTGTTTTTATTTTCATTTCGTTTTTCTTTTTAATGAAAAATGTCAACTATGTGTATTTTTTTCATTTTGTGTTTAATTTTGAAATCCCCAATTCCTGATTCCGAAAATTTGTAAACGCTATTTCTCTTTGTAATTTATTTATTTCTGTTTTCTTGTTTTTCAGGCGTTCCTCGAGATGGCCGACGAGACAGCCGCCTCCACCATGGTGCAGTACTTCACCACATGCGTTGCCCAGCTGCGCGGCCGCGCCGTCTACGTTCAGTTCTCAAACCACCGCGAGCTCAAGACCGACCAGACCCACAGCAACGCGGTAAGTTGCGGCGTCGTTGAACTCCTGCTGCTGCTGCTCCCTGTGCGAAAAGCAGAAACTTGTGACACCTGGCTGAAAGAGTGGGGCGCGCGTCGCGACCGTGTACCGCGCTGCCACAGCGCTTCCCGCCCCGTCGGCGGGCTGTCGGCTGCCGTATCCCCCGGCGACACGCGCCGATCCCACCCGGTTGACGACGGGGATTATGATTGTCACACGCCGCGCCGCTGCGCGCAGAAAGAATCCATTACAGCCTCTCCCCTCCCCTGCCCCCCATCCTTCCCTCTCTACCACAACCCCCTCCCATCTTCCGCTCTCTCTGCGGCTGTACACCCCCATCTCCCCGCCTCCTGCCACAACGCACCCTCCGGGGTGCTTTTCAGAGCACTGGGTCAGCCCCATCCGCTTCGCCTAGATACAGTACTTGTAGAATGATGGAGCAGCAGGTTGGTAGCCCCTAGCTTCTGCCGCTGCCGCCGCCTTGTGGGGGGCGCGCGGGGTTGGGGAAGCGAAAGGGAAGGGGGCATCTGGCCGAGACCCGGCCGCATCCACCCTCTCAATCCGGACCCATAAATCATCGGCTTTGACCGCCCGGGCCCCGCTGCCCCTCCCCCTCTTTCGACCCGCCCTCCCCGCCCCTCCCGCTCGCACCTGGAATCGTAAATTCCGTTAACTTGACCATAGGGGGCCCCGGCAGGGCCGGGATGAAAAGGCAGCAGCCGCCGGTCAGGCGGGCCGGGCCCCCTGAGTGCGAAAAGACGCTTGTGATATACTGCCCGGGCCCAGGCCCCCGGTCCAGGCCCAGCCCGCTGGAGTCCAGCTTTTTCCTTCGCGCTCGCTCTCTCCAGGGGCTCGCGCCCGCTTTACACCCCGCCGGTCGGAGTAAAAGCGCCGGACCTGAAGGAAAGGTCGCTGGCTGCTGCTGCTGCTCCACTGCCTCTGTAGGCGACGGTCTGCTGCTGTGCGACGGAGTGGCGCAGGTTGTAGTCGTGCCCATCCTCCCCGTCTCATTTTTGAGCATGGCGTAGGTCGCTTTTCGGAATGCCCCGCAGGGAAGGGTTTAATTGAGTTTCCGCCGAAATAATATTGTTTTCGCCCGGGCCGGGCGTGCCGCCGCCGCGCGCCGCCCTGCTCTGGGCGAAGGCCGAGCGAGGACCGCCCTGTCACTATGCGGTAACGATCCATCTAGAGATAAGCGGGCTAAATTCAGTTAGATTACCGTGAAATAGTATCCGTGCCGGTTTACTTAGACGTCGTTTTCCGCTCGGTGCGGTGGTGTTTTGACAGTGCGTTTGCCATTGCCAATCCGCGAGCCGCGCGCTTTTCCTCTTCCCCTTGCGTTCCGATGGCCTGGAGTGGGTGCGCTTTGCTCGGCAAAGCCCTCGGGCCCGCAGGCTGCCGGAGGGCCACCGGAGGGCCGCTGGAGGCCGCCGCCGCTGGAGGCTCCAGACAAACACGGCCTGAACGTGATGTCAGCGCCGCGGGAGGGATGAGGCTGTCCGGGCCCGGGCCAGGAGCGCGATCCCTCCTTCATCCCTCCCTGCGCGACCCTCCAGGCGGGAGTCGTCCTCGGGGGGTGGGGGGCTTCGTAGGGCGGTGTCTTTAGATCCCCCCCCCCTTTTTTTACAGCTCTTGCTCCTCAGTGCACACACCCACCAACTGCACACCGGCTATTCCGAGAAAAACGTGCATCTCGTCGTCGCGCGAGTCACAAGCAACAGCAACAGCAGCAGCAGCCACCCCTCGCGGCGGGGTTTCGGTTGGTTAGATAAGGGTGGGAGCAGGAAGAAATACTGTGTATCTTTCCAATCTCTGGTCCCAGCAGCAGGTGGCGCTCCCCCGTCGGTCCCCTCCCCTTTTCTCTACTCGCTCTCATCCCCCTCGCCTGCCAGCCAGGCTGCGCGACTCTCCTACGACGCGCGGATATTGTCCCCAACTTAGTTGCCCGATAAATTATCATTCTCGGCAAAGCGAGTATGTCCTATTGAACCGAAGCGACACAAGAAAAATAGTGGGGCGGCAGACAAATAAAAGCAAAAATGTTGACAATTTTTCGGGTCCATCCGCGAGTTAGCGAGTTTCCTTTATCCCGCTCTTTGCAGAGTGATCGCGAGGCCGCCGTGTGTACCTGGGAGGCGTTGCTCCGCACGGCGCGAGCGCGGCGTGTATATCATTGTTATCCCTCCGCTGGCATGCGCACATGGGCGTGCCCTGGTGTGCCGCGGCTCCGGCGGCCAAATCTGACTTCCATGAGGTGAATAACTTATTTTGTTCTTCTTGTCTGGCCGCCGCATGCGTTTTCCCGATGAATCCCCGCGTTACCGTTGTGTGCCGGGCGGCGCCGTGGATTTGTCTGGGCCGCCGCCGCCGCGTGCTGGCTTTGGGGGCGCAGCACCACGCCACGAAAGGGAGGAACACTTCGAAAAATATATATCCTTGTAAATTCACGACATGTTCTCGTTAGTAATTTACTTTTTACAAAATGTGTTGTAAATTTACGACAGACCACTCTTGCTCTCTCCAAGTAGTCGATGGTGAGGTACAGTTTGTTTTTCGTGGTTTGCTCGTCTTGCTTGAAGATTAATTAATGTCTTAAGTGTTGCCTGGGGCGTCTAGACCGTCGTACTACTCCAGGTTTTCGTTTCGCCTTTGCGTAACGTAAACCAATTATTGACAATTCAGCCCCGTGCATCGTAGCCTCGCTCTGGATTGGCATCGCACCGCACCGACCACTACGTCGCTTCTTACTTTAGTTCGCATCAGCCGATGATTTATCGAAAACATAATTTTAACAAACTCTATATTTTGGTGCAATAACGTTTCAAATCCGTTTTTCCCGCTTCCTTTGGATTCGAACCGGCCTTTTCGCTCATCTCTACTGCTCTCAAAGCGCGAGAGCCGTTACCCTCGCGCCTGCCTGTGGAACCTCTACGTGAAATTTGTGCTCAAAATGTTAAAGTGGTGGGGGACTATACACTGCGGTAAAAGAAACGCGAAGATCGCCCTGGCTTTATTTTACATAATCCATTTTCTTAGCTTGTCAGATATTTTCATCCCTGTGAGAGAGCGATGAGAGCCATCATAGCGCTTTGCCTTTACTCTTGTTTTTTTTTCTTTTATATTTCTTTGCTGGGGTATTTCCCAATAGAAGGGGGTTAGGGAGAGAGAGGGGAGAGGGGAGTTGGCCTGTCGCGGACAGGAAGCTCGTCTGTCGCTTCTGATCCGGCAACGCCACGCCCGCGTCATCCACCGCAGCGTCGCCAATATCTCGTCCATAAAAGCGAGAACTTGTATCTCTCTCACTCACTCATCCGCTCTCCCTCCCTCTCTCTCCCTTGCTTGGAGAAACTTGCGGCGGCCGAGCAAAGCAAGCGAGCGAGCGTCCTTTATTACTTTCAAAGTGCGTAGCCTATCATCTTATGAATACTAAACGATTCCGCCGCGCCCCGGATCGGAAAACGGAACGGGGTACGGGGCTGTGGCTGTGCAGGGGGCGGGGTAGGGGAGCGGAGGGTAAGGGATGCTCCGTTACGAGCTGCAAACAGGTGAGTGCGCTCTGGCGATGCGATGCCCGGGAGTGATTGGTCTCGTGCGCACGCGCATCGCAACGTAATGAGGTCCGCACGTGGAACTTCTCTTACCTGAACTTTGAGCTTGATGCTCTCACCGTAGCAGCACTGCACGCTGCCAGAAATACTTGTTTAGGTTTCAGGGAAAATCTACCTGATGTGTGTGTTGTAAAATTGCAATTTAAAATTGTATAAAATTACACTTTAACATGTTATAGTGTGGCAGATACCCGTGTGTGACTTTTAATTCATGTACAAGTAAATGTGTGAATTTTCCCTGAAATTTTGCACACCTGTAGCCCAACAAGTGTACGAAGTGAAATACGCCTCGAAGTGTGAGACGTTAAGAAACTCGTCCCGGGGACCCTCCCGATGGACTTCAAGATGAATGTCGTCCCGGCCGTCACGTCGGTCTGCGCCCGCCCGACACCGAACCGCAATAAGCTGGCGAATAATGTGGCCGCCGCCGCGCTCCTCTCCCGTTTTCTTCTTTCCCACTCTCTTTTTTTCCATCACCCCTCGTCTCTCTCTGTCTCCCCATCTCTCTTCTTGCACTTATGCAAATGAGGTGAGGTGAGGCGAGGTCCCCCTCTCGGATCGGCCGTCCCGTCGCGGTGTCGTCTTTTCATTGTCGCGGCGCTGGTCCCGTCGCGCGGAGCTCCGGGTGGGCGGCATCCCCCTCCATCCCTCTCTCTCTCTCTCTCTCTTACTCATCTTTTTTTTTTTTTTTTTCGTTATTATTTCTAAAAAAAATGGTCGAAAGAGAAGGGAAAAGGGAAGACTGCGGAGGATAATTTCCGGTGAGCCGCCGGCGCACCGCGCGAGAGACGCTCGCTTTGGTCGCCGCCCGGCTGTCCATGCGCGGTTTTAGGGGGTAAGGGAGTGCGGGAACGATGGTGGCAGCTGTCGCAGGTTAGCTCATGATGAACCATCTTATTAAACGTGGGCAATTTGCTCTGAAAAGGCGGACAATTTGTGGAGAGCAGTGTGGTTTGTGGTGGTTATACCCTTTCTTTTACCTTTTACCTACACACAGATTGAGGAACATCTCTTTTCTCCGCGCCCCTTGGCTTGGCTTGGCTTGGCTTCGAATAAGATGAAATGGCGGTTTTGATCGGAGCGAGTCACCTTGGCGCACGGAGGAGGCTGTTCGTTCCACTCGCCCTACTTTTCCTCCTGCCGTCCCCGCGCGCCCTCACCGCGACGGGGGGACGAGGGGGATGATCTGAAGGAGGAGGGTGCGGGGCCAAGCGGCGGCCCTTGGATCGGAACGGTACGCGCGGCGGTGGATTAAACCAGTTAACGGGGGCTTAAGGGGGCGCGGCGTGGCGGGGCGCGGGCTATAGCTCTCGTTATTGACAGTCAGCCACCCCTCCCCTTTCCCCCTCTTCGTCCCTATCTTGCTCTCGCTCGCTCTCTGCCGCACCTTCTCTC